GACCTTAGCTGCAACATTCATTTCCTGAGCGGGGCACGTCCCCCTGCCCATAAAGCTAATAAGAGCTTCCTTGCCCGGCCGCCCCGCGCCGTGCGGCAGTGGCCAGGCGGCCGGGAACGCTGGTTTCCATTAGCCCCTTATGATGCCAGGTGCCGCTAATAAGGCCCATCAGCAAGAAACAAGAGCTGCCAAGTCGTCTTCAGACTCTGGAAGTAATCACGGGCAGAGTTTGGGGGGCTGCTGGCTTTTTTTTTTTTCTTCCCTCCCCCCTTGTTTTCTATTTTTCCTCCCTTTTTTAAAGTTTCGGTGGCAGCGGAACATAAATTGCCGAACGCTTGAAATAAAATAAAAAACAACTACTGTATCGGGCTACCAAAATTAACGCTAATAACATCTCACAAAGCACTTGGGATCCGATTTATCACGTTTATTGCTTTAATGGTATCCTGCATCTGTTTCTCACTGTGACATGTCGAGCAGTGCCAACGTGCCTAATGGCATCAGTAGTACAATGCTCAGCTAATCCAGGCAGAAACAAACAGAGGTGAGGCTGGCAAAGAAAGAGGCGAACGCCAGAATACTTCCCTAGGCAGCTACCTAAAGTTTGCTACGGCACTAACATTACGGCTCCATGCAGACAGCGGACCAACAGGCTACACGTGACGGGGACTGCTGGGCGTTGCAACCGGGGCCTGGAGCCCCACGGGAAGCTGCCGTTTCCCTGAGTGGGATCATTCCGGATCAGCGGGAGCACCGATGCCTGGTCCTGCACGCCAGATGGGTGACAGCACCAATGCCTGGTCCTGCACGCCAGCGCTGCTGCTAGCAGCCAGGTAGATCTGCCGCTCCTCTGCGCTGCAGAAGGGGGAAAAGAGGGCAAAACTCTGCAGTTTAGGGCACTGTGGCCCTAGGTAGAGCAAGCCTCCTTATTCCTACCCCAAAAATACTTCGCCAGAGCACACGTCTTTTAGGTGATGTCTCAGCCACGAAACCTCAAAATGCCAAACTCAGACACGAAAACTGGGATGGAGGCTTTCCCCAAGGTGCACTCTGTCATACAACAGCGAGGACGGGCACCTTCCAGCCAAAACTGCTCCCAGGGGAGCAATTGCCTGCCGCCAGCCTCCGCTAGCCTGCCGACACCATTGCCACGAAGCACTTTCGTTTTCCAGCCGAGCATCTCCACCTTGCACAGACACACACATGGCAAACGCAGCCAGCAAGCCGCATCGCTACAGTGGGCGAATTCCTGGACAGCATCGGGGTTCAGATGCTCGGCCGTGTCACCAGTGATCTGTATTGAATCGCATCCCCACCTGCAGCCTTCACTGTTGCTATCGACGTGAAAAAAATTAAACCGTGTCTTTTATGAAGTTTTAAGGCATTTAACTTCTCGATGACACATTACTCCGGGCTCAGCACGGCACTCGCATCGCAGCTCGGGAGGTTTTTCTTCATACCAACAACACCAAAAAGGGCCACTGAACTATGGCTTTTTTTTTGTCTGCAATTAGAAGCGATGATCGATACTAACATTAGATTAAGTTTGAACTTTGCTGAACCTAGGAGGAAATCTTTTATAAAAAAAATTGAAGAGTCGCCAACTCGATATACACTCAATTAGTCAAAATCGTAAGCTTGGTAAAGAAGAAAAAAAACCCCAAACCGGATTGTGCAGCAGCTGGTGGGTTCGGGGACCCAAAAACCCCGGTCAGGGCCAGTGCCGAGGCTTGCAGCCGCTTGGCCACCAAAAGGTCACGGCTCAGCGCTCTCAACTCGCCGGTGTTATGACAGGGCACAGGCGATGCTGCCACGGGGCCGAGGGTGGCCGCGGAGCCACACTCCCGCACGAGGCCGGGGCAGACGACCATCCCTCAGGCACACCTCCATCACCTGGAGCGAGCGGCTCCCCCACGCCCTTGCCGAAGCCCAGCGAAAAGCCAGCCCAGCCCTTCCCTCTCCTTTTTCCTGCGTGCATTTCCCATACTACCAAAGATAGGACCAACACTCAGAAGGCTCCGAGACTATAAACTTATATATATTTATACTTATACAGGCATGTGTGCGTGTAAACAAACATACCCGCCATATGTATACACTCGTTTGTGCAACGTAAACAGGCACAGCACCCGTTGGCTCGCTGAGCTCCTTGCAGAAAGAGCGGCGTCAGCTCTGGATGGGTTCGGGCTCCGTCTGTCACCTGCTGGGGCTTGGCACGTGAAAGCCATCGTGCCGGGCGGCCGAGCAGCCCGCGGTACTGTTACGTACCCCTCCCCAGCAGCTGCCCCCTGGCCCCCAGCTTGCTGCAGCTCGAGCACCTCCACATTCACTTCAAAGTCGGAAAGCAAAACCACAGCAGCAAATGCACAGCAGAAAGGGGTCAGCGAAAGCCGCCGGTTGACAAGCAACACCGTGGTACCCTCGGCACATCCTGCCCCCACCGCCAGCCAGCTCGGGGAGGTGGTGCCAGGACCTCAGCACGGGGCGCAGACTCCCCCAGACCACCTCTCCAGCAGGCACTGGAGTGGAGAGGAGCCTGTAGCCAGTATGGTGCAGCTGCCACCACCGCCAGAACTGCTCCAGCAGAGAGCTACGGATCCCAATCTAGTGTAGATGCTCTTTAACAGCTCCATGAATACAATAGGATCCCACAAATCCTCCCCAAACGGTAATTTTCACAAGGTATTAGAAAGCAAATGCTATAAAAAAGCCACATGAGACCATGTCTACAAACACACACCGCCTTGGATTTAGACCCTGGGGGTGGGGGTGGGGGGGCAGTAAGTTCATTTGACTGTTACCCAATGCCTTTCAACATGGACGGTCTCGCGGATCAGTTTAAAAATGGCTCAAAGGATTTGGCTCACCCTGCAAAGTTTGCCAGTGCCAGGTAATCTGTCAGAAAGCAAGAACAGGCTAACAGAGTTTGGCGCTGGCTTAAGCAATTGCCTGCGAGGCTTCGCTTGCAAGGGACGACACTTGGCTCTGTGCTTCAGTCAGAGCCGGCGAGCCCATCGGAGCACGGCGTGTACCCAGCCTCCCGATAAGGATCACGAATAATTAAGAAATAAGCTATGACCCCGCAGCCGTGGTTGCCAAAATAAGCCAAGCTGGGGAAGGCGCTGTGAGATACAGGCTGCTGCACTGGACAAGCTGGGCCACGCTCTCCCACCTCCCAACCGCTCGGGTGCGCAGGGAAGGATCCGACCTCACAGCCCGCCCTGCCTCGGGGCAGATCCTTGGCCAGCGGCAGGAGCAGCCGGGCAGCCCCAGCGTCTCCGTCTCCTGCGGCCGCACGGGTTGCTGCTCTTGGGCTTGGAGGGAGAAAGGGAGATGCTCGAGACCGCAGCAGAAAGGCACGTTAAAATTCTCTCTGAGCCTTCACTGCAGCTCTCCTCCGGTGACGTTCGGTCTGCATCACCGCGCGGCCGGGGAAGAGCCGCACCGAGGTGGCTTCGGGCACGCTAACCACCACAAGCCCCAGCTCTCCCGCCTCTGAGACGGGGGAACAAAGCAGAAAGCGGCTGTGCACCTGCACAGAGCCGGGAAACCTCTCCGAGGGGCGAGGGCTGCTCTCAGCGGGGTCTGCGCGGCAGCTCCGAGTCGCTGGCCAGACCGAGAGGTGACGCTGCCAACGCTCGCAGACCCGTGCGGGGCCAAGAACCCCGGAGTGGTGGCTGTCGCCCCGCACTGGAAATGTTCATGGGCTGAACATGCGGGGAACTGCCACTCGGGCACCCGACACCGGCTCCGGCGCATCCCGCACCGCTCATGGGCGGCAGCCTCCACAGGCGGCGAGCGTGCTCTCAGCACTGGCTCCCCCACCAGAGGCATGCGCCGGCACGGCCACCGTCCCTGGAGCGCGTTCTGTGCGTCGGGACTAATTAACCTGTTGATTCATTAAAAATCCGAGACGGTGCGCAGCCCGAGGAGGCTGCGAGCAGCTCCAGCACTGCACCGGTGCTGCCTTCCCCCAGGCCAGACGCTGCCATCCTGCCGCGGGGCTGCAGCCGCACCGGGGGCCAGCGCTGCGCAGTGCTCGCCGAAGCACGCCTAGCACCAAGGGGTTTGACCGGCGCTGCTGACTTAGGTGCGGTAATTAAAGCCACTCCGCTTCCCGGCCAAATCGGGGAACGAGCTCTGGTCCCTGCTCCCCCGATCGGGAGACGGTAAATGGGGGAGCACCAAACTCACGTGCCCGTCACAGCCACCATGCTCCCACCCCGCAGCAGCTCCCCAAGGTGCGGGGCTCGACGTGGGCACAAAGATCCACCCCCACCCCGAGCAGGGGAGCCCCAAAATTGCAGCTGCAGGAGGTTCAACTCCAAACCCGTCCTCGCAGGGATGGACCTGCGTCTCTGCGGCAGCACGAGCCCTCCACGCTCGCCTCAGTGTTAGCCGGCCTGACCTACGTGTTACTTTGTGCAAAGTGCAAGCATTTCATAAACCGGGAAGCTGAGCGGCAGAAAACTACCAGGCTAGCAAGGCACTGCACGCAGCGATCTCAAGCATTGCCGCTGCAGCCGGGCGCGGGGACCCCGCAGGTCTCTTCTCCCGCCCCTTGCCCCGCACAGACGCGCCCGGGTGCTGGCGCGGGCGGGATGGGCTTTTGGCAGAGGGTGGGCGAGGGCTGCCTGACCCCACGGCCTCCCTTCACGTGCGGATCCCTAGCTCAAACGGTAGCGACCGTGAGCAGTTCGGCGGACGCCAGTCAGGGAAACCGGCGGGGTCTGTGCTAGCAGGAAACACCTATGGCCCGAGCCCCGTCCGGGCTGTCCTCCCCAGCCAGCGCTCGCTGGAAGGAACCTTCTGGCATGGCTGCCAGACCTGGAAAAGTTGCGACAGCCGTCCCTCCGTCCGTACCGCTGTTGGGTCCCGGTTTTGGGCTCCGCGGCGGGAACTTCGCGCTGGCAGGCGCGGTGCCCGTCCGGAAACCGAAATCCTCCAGCGAGATCCCGCCCGCCTGGTGCGGAACGCAGCGGCGCGCCGTCGGCACTCACCTGTGCTGCTCGAGGGTCTCGTTGTCCGGCAGCTCTGCCCCGCACACGCTGCACTGCTCGCCCAGGGCTCTGCTCTCCGTCTTCATGCCGGCCGCCAGCTCCCCCAGCTTGCTGAACAGCTCCCGCTGGATGAAGCCCTGGGGCAGCAGCCCCCCGTAGGCGCTGAAGTCCATAGAGACGGCCAGGGCTGGCTGCACGTGCAGGGCGGACGCCACGGAGGGCGGCACGCCGAGCACCGGCTCAGTCTTGTGGTTCGGCAGCAAGGAATAGATGCCCAGGGGCTTGTCGCCCTGGGCAGCGGCGGCGGCGGACGGCTCCGGCCCCAGCGGCAGCCCCTGGCCGGGCTCGGGCGGCGGCTCGGCGCCCTCCTCGCGGGCATAGTGCAGTTCGCGGGCGCTGGTGATGACGCTGCCGCGGGTCGGGGTGCCGGGCCCTTCCTTGCCCTTCTCGTCAGGTTTCTCCCCGCCGGAGGCGCCGGGCTCGGCCGTCTGGGGGCTGTTGCGGCTGGAGGCGTCGTCCACCTGCATCGCTTCGGTTTTGACCTCGGCGAGGCCGGGGGGGCGGCGGGCGGCGGCGGGGCGCGAGTCCTCGGGGGCGCCAGGCGGCAGGGCACCCTGCAACAGCGACTGCCCGATGGTCATCAAGCTGTCCACCGCCGCCTTGGTGGGGCTCATGGCGGAGAGGGGGCCAAAAGAAGCGGAAGCGGAGGGGCTCTGGTCCGCCGCGGCCGCCGGCAGGCTCTGGCCAGCCGCACCGGCGTAGCCGCTCTCCTCGCCGGCGGGCTTGGAGACGAAGAGGCCCTTGATGTACCTCGACTTCCTCTCCTCCTCTTCCTCGGCGGCGGCGCCTCCGTCGGCCATGGTGACCTCGGCGTCATTGTCCTCGGAGGCCTGGATGGTCTCCAGGATCTTCAGGCACTGCTCCTCCAGGTACTCGATCTCCAGGATCTCGGCGGCGTAGAGCAGGTCGTCCAAGTCTTCAACCTTGGCCTGCAGGGTGGCGGTGTACGCGTACTCCAGGATCTGCTGGAACGTCTTTGGCGAGAGGAAGTCCAGGGTGTAATGCTGGCTGTTGCGGTGGAAGAGGATCTCGAACATCTTGCTGGTGCAGGCCAGCACCGTCCGGTGCGCGTGGAACTCCTGGCTGTCCACCATGATGACCACGTCGCACAGCGTCCCTGCCAGGCGCATCTGGTTGGCTTTGTGCAGCAGCCCGGTGGGGTGGCAGGGGTTCTGCAGCTGGATCATGCCCATCTTAGTCAAATCCATTGCGCTCCCGAGGCTCACTCATCAGGGTGCCTCGCCGTCGCTCAAATCTGGGACTAGCTTTGTGTGCCGACTATCTGCGAAAACAAAAGGCGGAGGGGGGAGAGGAGCGGGGGGGAGAGAGCGGGGAG